GTAAGAACAGTATGGTAATGCACAATTTTAGATATCGCGATTATTCCTTCTTTTTAAAGGATTTTTTCCTTTACTACAAAATCTTGCAACATCAGAAATTCGAATACATTACTAATGTTTATTAAAATTCAATATTTTCATTCATAATTGAATTGAAATCTACTTTCCATTGTATTTTACCTTGTCTTAAAAATAGAATTTTCAGTAACTTAATATTTATGTAGGCTTAACACATTTTGAAATGAATCTAAAGAAACATATTTCATATTTCATCAGTATAAAATTGAAATTTTTCAATGTCATACAGTTTGGAATTAAATTATGGTCTAGTATTATGTCTGTGGTAGCGCTTGTAAAATCGCACTCAACCACCATAAGCTTGAGCCGGCTGAATATAAAGTATTAAATATTTAATCTCATGGCAACTTCTCTTCGGCAGCTCAACTCAAATCATTTGTTGATTTGAAACTTTTATTTTAATGAGATTAGAATATGGAATTGTAAATAAAGTTATTCGAAATAATGTTACTGATCTTCTGATATGTTGGAGTTCTACAAGTTATTTCTACATAAAAACCTAGGATATCTCCGCGTCTCTTACAATTTTTTACATTCTAAAATTTTAATCAAATTTTTCACTTATTATAGAGTTCTTTTGTCATTGATTAAGGACAGCCATGTTGCTGTTTGCAAAATAAGATATTTGCTGTTCAATAATATATTTCATCGATGGTTATTTCAAAGATTAATATGCAGGTTTTTGGGTGTGTGTGCTCTCGAAGCTTAGGGTAATATATAAATAAGATTCATTCTTTTACAAATGTACTTTTTTTTTTACAAAAATTGTCAATTCAATTTATAATCATTTAATTTGTTAAATAAAATTATTAGTCAAAAGTAGAGAGAGAGAGAGAGAGTTAAAATGTGTGTGTATCCGAAATTAAAATTTTATACTTAATAATAGTATTATTAGATACGCATCTTAACCTGTTAAACCTTTTTCATGTCACGTTATAAATGTATTCTTTAATTTTATATATAATTGGTTATGACCATTTATAGCTGAGAAATATTTGTAAACAATATCAAGCTGGTGTACAACAGTAACACAAATATTGATGCATACCATTGCTTTAGGATATGAGTTCTTTATATTTTTTATTTTATGAACGTAGTAAAAAGCACAAGTATTACATAACTAAATTTTTTAAGAATATTGTACATATGCATGAGGAAGATAATTCAAGAGAGTGGAGTCCACTTGGAAGGGGATTCGGGACCTTTAAATTACTAACAATAGAGATTTATTCTATGAAGATGAATTAGAAAAAAAACCTGTTCTTGAAGATGCCCATTAAATTTCCGCCTGTAGATTGCACCAAAACAAAAACTCGTATTAATACTGTTTTACCGAGAACTTATTGGTACTACTTTGTTGGCAATCCAAAAATAATCAGAAACTTATTTATGAAATTAAAATTTTTTAACTGCAACTGTAATGAAATGACTACTGGAGGGTTCATGAGGGTAATCATAAATAAGGCTGAAAGCTATCATGCTTCAGTTAAAAATGCTTCATTTTTTTGTTCTTTGTTTTCATGTTCTAAAATTCTATGGCAAAATTTTAATTTTTTGAAATTTATTTGTATTTTCTTCGTAGAAAATTCTCTTCGGGATTCATATGGCTGTAATGTCAGTTGAAACCGACTCGTGGCAGGTGATATCTTCTGAAGAGCCCAAAGGGAGGGGATTGTACAGTAATATCACACTCCCCCCCCCCTCTTTGGTAGCAATTTGAAGAGCCGTTATTCCTCGCTTTACAGCTGTTGCAGACTCGTGCCTATTTTCACCTGCGTGGTGCACAGCTTTAGGAGAAGAGGCCTCCCCCCTCATCCCTATTTCTTTTTTTCAATGCATCAACAAGTCTAGATAGAAATGACTGCAAAATGTTCGATTTTTACTTTTTCTTTTGGTTGTATTTTGCTCTGCACGAGCCAAATGTTTCGAGTGTAATACGATATCCCTACCTTTCTGGCTTTTTGGAGTTGAAAGGGATATTCCTTTTTAAAAGGGGGATTTAGTTGAAAGAGTTGGTTGTGCTCTTCTTCCCCCTCCTCAAAAAGGAATTGGGGATGTGTATTGAAATAAGAGGAGTGAGGCGATGTTTTAGGGGTGCTCCTGGTTCCGTGGGAGCTGTTTGTGGTATGGGAGTTCATTCGTTGAAATATTTATTTTATCATTATACGTCCTTCAGGAAGTTGAATGTTTAAATTAAGCTATTATCCTTCAAAAAATAACACGGAACTATCTTGTAGAATAATATACTGAAGTTCGACACATTCCACTTGATTTAATATTTCACATCTCATCGTATTTTGATAGTATTTCCAAATTAGAAGAAATAATCGTAGTTCGTAGGCACCTTTGGTTCGACATCCACTCTTCTCATAAATAATGGATGTTTTCTGAATTGTAAGATTTGAACAGCTAGCTGTCTTTGCTTTATGCTGAAGAGCGTGTTCTAAAAGCGTGTTCTTCTCGAAAGTTCACCATTCTTGTATCATGCTCCTTTTCATTTTGTCGATTTTCAGGAACAAAACACAGTAAAAAACTAATTATTAAATAAATAATTAGCGTTAATTAATAAAATTAATCATTAATAACAAATACTTAATTAAATTTTACGTATTATATACTTAAAATTATAATCCAACGGAAAAATCACCAAGGGCTTTGAGGACTCCCAGAACCCCCTCCCCTAGTGTGCGCCACTGGTTGAAACATAAGGGTTCGACTACCTCCCGAATTAATTGGGGTTCAAAGGTATGTACGAGCATACGAGTCCACCAAAAATCGGGAAATTAGTTAAATAAAAATTTAAAAGTCATTCTCACACATACAGAACCGTTCTTGCTTAAGATATCCGACTACGTTCGGAACCGTGATTTTAAAAAAGCGCACAAATGGATAATTTTCATGATATTTAGTGTAACTCAGATTAGAATACATGCATAAAATGGTTTTAAGGAGATTTTGACAAAAAAAAATTTATTTAAATATAATATTTTGGCAAAAAGTTAACTTAGAATAATCTTTTTTCCAAATGTTCTCCTTTTGTGAAAAATGGTTCTATTATAATAATATTTTGCCCGTATATAGCTCAGACCTCTCTACAGAGTCTCAACTAGAATTTTTGAAAAATTCACATTATTTTCAGAGTTACCAACAATTGAAATAATTATTCGCGTTTTTTTCTTAAAATTGCTCCCCTCTGTTGTAAAATATGAATAAACCCACTTCTAAGTTATTTCTTTCAAAAATTGTAGTTAAGCCTCTGAACTGAGGTATGAGCTATATACAGGCAAAATATTCTAATAGAAGCATTTTTCACTAAAGGAGAACATTTGGAAAAAAGATTATTCTAAGTTAATATTTTGCCAAAATATTGTATTTAAATAAAATGTTTTTGTCAAAATGTCCTTAAAACAATTTTATGCATATATTCTAATTTAAGTGACACTAAATATAATGAAAATTATCCATTTATGCGCTTTTGAAAATCATGGTTCCGAACGTAGTCGGATACCTTAAGAAAAGTTATAAAATCTGTCTAAATAGCGTTAAGTAGTTTTAATGTCGCTAATAAAACCGTTTTGAACCCACACGTTGCACGAGGTGGCTGTTTGGAGTAGAATTTACTATACATCTTTCAAATTTGTGTACTTACGTACTATCGCAACAATCGCGAACTTTATTAATAACTCGCCATGCTGGCAACCCTGATTTCTTATGAATTGTACTCTCTGAATTTGCAACCAGATGCATCGTTTCATATAATGTTGCCAATGGATTGCGATAATACTTAAGTACCCAAATTTTCCTCATCTTTAGACTGTAGTTTTAAAATTTCGAGAATCATTACGAACAACAATTAGTGCAACTTTTGTACAAAATTAATTAAATTAAATTGAAAGAACGAAAGCTGATTTGCGATATGAACTACTGTTTAAGATTGCCTGTGTTTGCTATTAAAGTGTAACCAATTCATGAATAATTCAAAATATACTCCCCGAAACAACCAAAATTTTACAATTACCGATTTTATGAATTCATTCCACTGTAGTCTCTATCATATTTACCTACAAGTCTCGTTTAAACACATTTGTAAACGAATCACGTTTGATTAGCCATTCATGAAGCATTCTGTAATTAGATTAGAATTTCTAATAACGTCTATTATATACTCTACCGTAAAGAGTTCTTTAAACTTGGTGAAAAGTATTGATTATGTGGTACATTGAAAGTCAAAAAGTTGTGATTAAATTCTTATAATAAATATATTTATCTAAAACCAAGGTAAGCAATTGAAATTTGTTTCTTGCTCCAGTGGATTGGAAATCTAATTTTTTGAATATTTTAAGTATAGGGCTCTTCAGTATTAATTTAAATTTTATGGAATTTTTCAGAATTTTTATTATTTTTTTAGTAAATTTTCTGCTTTATCCAGATTTAAAAAAGATTAACATGTATTTTTAGCTAAAATAGTTTAAAGATTATGTAAGAGTATGTGAGAAAAAATGGTTTCCAATTTTTTTTTGGACCGAAGTTCTAAAATTATTTCATTTGTTTTAGATTCTCAAAAAGTACGTGTGAGTTGAATTTTCGGAAAAATTTTCTTTATTTAAAAAAATGTAAATTCGTATTTAAAGCTAAACAAGCGATATATATAAATTAAGTCAATTCCTACTTAGGTTAACTGAGAAAAATTTTATTTTAGTTACTTTTTATTAAATAATTACAATTATTACAAATATGTATACACATGACAGAATCACAATAAAGTGGCAAAATAGAAAGCGATTTTCCATTTTCCTTTCTATATAAGGTGTTGGACTATTTTTTGTTTATTTTTTGTTTGTTACTATTTATTCATTAATTAAATTTAGTTATTCCAATAAAATAGTATATTAAAAAAGAAATCACATTCTCAGAAATTAGGCCATCCCAGGTGGGATTCTAACTAGCCCACGACATTTGGATTAGAAGTCCAACGCGCTATCCATTGTGCTACAGGGACACAACGCACGATTTTCATTCCTATATATTTTGTTAGACTCTTATTTTTGTTTGTTAATATGTATTCATTTTTTATTTCATCAATGAATTAATATTTGGAAAAACTGTATTATAACGTCAAGTGTCATCCACTTCAAGTTTTAAAAAAATGTTTTTGAACTTCAGTGGATGAATAAAAAGTATTTTATTAACCATTGAAAATTTGAACAAGATATATAGGAAGAGTGTGAATTTATAGTAGGAACTGTGAAAAAAGCAGATCATAATAAACAGTTTTGAAATGTTTTAGAAAAAAAATTACTGTAGGCTTAAAATAAATTTTAAAGAAGTATGCACACCAATATATTACAAATCATCCTAGTAATAATTATTATTTTATTACTAATCATCTTAATACCCCTTTCCAAAACCATTGCATCTTTTATTACAGTCTTTAAAACTCGTATAACATTTCCTATCAACTCTGCACAATAACAAATGTCAGAAATTAGTATATTTGCTAATCCTTATTCTATTGAACTACAATGAGTGAATTAAACAGAATGGATGAAATATATATACGAAGCGTGCGAAAAGGTTTTCTGTAACGCTGGCTACATTTTGTTACTCGGTCAAAATTCAGATTGCAGCTATATTGATCACACTAAACTAAATTAGTCAGTGGGGTTAGAATCAATCAAATTATGTTTATATCATGTAGACCAGGAATCGGCAGATTTCTCCAAGATACAGGCTGCTTCTAATTTTTTCAAGTTGTTGCGGTCCACCCAGTGGTGTAGGTGTGGTAAGGTAAGAAAAAGATCTGCGATATTTAATATAAGTTAATAATAGATATGGAATATGTATTTACCTACATAACTAAAATAAACAAATGTACGCTTTTAAAACTATGTTTAAAGCAAAACGGAAGATACAAACACAATAATAAGGGCCACAAATATAATAACGTCAAACGATTTATTTATTATCAAACAATTTAAAATATATTAAAAAATAAAACATTTTCGTCTGAAGTATGGTCTCGGAGTTATAGTCAGTAGAAGACTTAGTCAACATACTGTCAGTCAATTTTGAATAATTCGGTATGCAATCCCTAACACGGTGCTTCTCAAAATTTCAATATTTGTGATCCAATATTCAATCATAATTTTCCTCGTGCCCCCCTCTCGCAAAAACAATGTATTGAATTCTGACCTTTTTTTGCGCATTCTACTATCCGTAAAATTATTCCGAAGGTTTTGGAATGCAGTAAAATGACCTTGACATTGCTTGTGAAGGATTTACCTATTTCAGAGAAAAAGGTGCTTATTTGTGCCTCCCCCCCAATACACCGCATACGCATGCCTAAGAGAAAAACGGTGGCTCTCGGGAGCAAATCGCATAATTTTTAATCGACATTTAAGGGATTAATTGTAAACCTTACAAATTATCAATATAAATGTTAATTTTTGTTTTTCATATATTATATATGACAAACCCATGGGGTCACTGATAATTATTAAACTTTTTCTTAACTTAGTATTAGCAAATTAATTATATAAAATACTTTTCACAGTACTGATATGTTTACAAGTGTATTTTATCAGTGTAGATGTGTATTTTATTTTTTATTAAGTCAGAATGTGTTTTTTTATTTGTTTACTTTCAGTAACTTAATAATTTTTTTAAATAACTTTTGATTTCGACTCTTCAATATGCTCGCGGACCTCCATATGGGGCCTTAGAGTTTTATATTTTCTTGAAGTACTCTAAAAGACCTTTGCGAAAATGTGTGGTATAACTTTTTTACAGATAGTCCTATTAGTGCGAGAGTTATTCGAAAAAAACTCTTATGTTTATCACGCACCCCACAGTTTGAAAAAACTGCCTAACTGCTAATCTCCAGGCGGTCACTCCAAAATGTCTTGGTGTCCACCGGTCGACCGCGATCGACTTAATGTTCCCTTCTGATGTAGACTATGGCTATCCAGTCACTACAGTTACCTCAGTACCTTTCCACCTATAAATTCAAAAACAGAACAAAAAAAAAAAAATCCCTCCTACCGAATTATTTCTTATTTTACTATCTCCCAACTGCCCCTTTACTCCACAATGAAGACATAATCCCGCAGTCACAAAAAGAACCAATAAGTCCTAATTGCGCTGCAAAACACCATTACACCGGCCCTTACTTACTAAAATAAAGAGCAAATCGCTTTCCCAGCCAAATAAATAGTCACATAACATCTCGAGTCTGGGACAGCTCATAAAGCATCTCGCTGACTATATTTCAAGGCAGTTACATGATGTTTGCCGTGTTTAATGGTCAATCATTGCTGCGCGATGACCAGGGGGTTGCCGGTTCCGATGGAATGCGTCGATGATAAGAATTTTATTGGTCAATTTAAGAGCGCCGACGTATGGTGGGATAGGACGTGTCATTAACTGGAGAAGAGGACCAATTTTGGCTTTTTGTGTCCTTAAAACTATGGTTTTGAATGTCGGTGTTTTATTTTTATGGTATAAAGGGGTTTGTTCTGACGGGGGCTTATTGAAAAGGGACTGGGAGGAGTTATTAGAAGAGTGTCGAATTTTGATTTATAATGACAGCGAGAGAAAGAAAATATATATATATATATATTTTAATGATCTATGTTGTACGTAATTTAATTGCTTGTATTTTGTTACTTTAATAGTTATATTTTTGAGATTCATGTAATTTAGTCGCAAATATGCAATAGTTGTATTGAAACTACTCTAGCTTCTCGATTTTATTTGATGTTGTTTGATGTAAAATTCATTTTACAATCTCAAATTTAATGGAAAAAAATATTTTCTCTTTTGATGTTACTTTTTATATAGAGTGTGTGTACTTAAGTTGTGTGTGTGTGTGTGTGCTTAGTTTATTGAAAATTCTTCAGATTCATTATAGAAAGCTTTTACGCAATAGGGCAAATAGCTTATAAAGAAATTCGAATCTTTTTTTAAGTTATAAAATAATTTTGATCAGTGGCACACATAAAGAGGGATGATCCACGGGATTGAATCCCCCCCTCGACTCTTTTGAATTTTTTTCCCGATTAACTATAATCCTATGTCTATAAGTACGTAAAATTTAATTAAGTATTTGCTATTATGTAATTATGTATTTTACTTATTAATGCTAATTTTTTTACTCAATTTATTTTTACTGTGTTTTTTTGTGTTCCCCAGAATCGACAAAACTAAAAGAATATGTTTGGCAACTTATTGGGGTGTGATAGCAGACTGGTTAACTTTCGACCCTCGACCTCTCCTCCCTGCTTGAAGAATTGCTGCACGTGCGCCACTGCTTATGATGTATAAAATAACTTCCTTTTTTCCCAAATCATACAGTCCATGATTTTTTTTCTAAAAAAAAAAATAAAGGGATAGATATTTTTTATCTTTCCATGGTCAGCACTTAAAAAGTATAAATTGGTTTGGATAAAATATATTAGCGATATCCGAAATACAGTGAAAATTGATTTAGGTATCCGACGTATAGATTTTAGTTGACACCGAATTTTACCATATGGAGTATTAAGACGACCGCGATCCACCAGTGGACCGCCAAGACATTTTTGTGTGACCACCTTCACTAAGAACAAAGAAGCCGAGTTTTTAACGAATGTCGAATACTTTCTAGTTTAAGGTATCCGACTACGTTCGAAATCGTGATTTTGCAAAAGCGTATAAATGGATAATATTTATGATATTTAGTGTCACTTAGATTAGAAAATGTATTTAAAATTGCTTTAACAATTAATAAATTAAATTTATAAATTGCTTAAACAATTAATAAATTAAATTTATAAATTATTTAAGTACTATATTTTGACAAAAAATTAATATAGAATGACCCATTTTCAAAATATTCTCCTTTTGTGAAAACAGGTTCTATTATAATTATATTTTGCCTGTATATAGCTCAGATCTCTCTACAAAGTCTCAACTAGAATTTTTGAAATATATAACTTAGAAGTGGGTTTATATTCATATTTTACGACAACTGAGGGGAGCAATTTTAAGAAGAAAACGCCGATAATTGTTTCAATGGGTGGTAACTCTGAAAATATAATATGAATTTTTTTTTCAAAATTCCTATTTCACACTCTCTGGAGAGAAGTCTTTATATAAGCGAAATATTATTATTTTAGAAGCATTTTTTATAAAAGGAGAACATTTTGAATAAAAGATTATTCTAAGTTAACTTTTTGCCAAAATATTATATTTAAATAATTTTTTTTTTGTCAAAATCTCCTTAAAACCATTTTATGCATGTATTCTAATCTGAGTGACACTAAATATCATGAAAATTATCCATTTGTGCGCTTTTTTAAAATCACGTTTCCGAACGTAGTTGGATACCTTAACACGAAACTGAGGGGACTCCAATATTTTTTCGTGTTAAAGGATATTTGAAAGAAAAAAAAACATGTATTCAACAAAATTAAGTTTATTGGAGTACCTTTTAATTATGTAGATATGTATATATACATGTATTTAATGAAAATCAATGAATCAAAAACATTCACAAGAACTTACTGAAATTTAATACAAATTTTTCTTTTAAAAAAACCAAGCATTTATTGAGTTTTTGTAAAATAATTTGATATTTTTCTTTGCATTGTCTTTCTTAGCATCAAATTGTCGACAAATTGTTCGATGTCGTCCGTTTTGCTATTCTTTTCACCATTGGAATGTGTATCTAAATAACTTTGCATACTTTTCAAGATGCTCCTTATTTCGGATGACATGGAAACAGAAGCAGCATTATTCATTTCATTTTCTTTATTGGAATTTGAATTAACGATATATTTTGGACTTCGAACCCTCTCCGAAATGTGTTTGTCTGCTATAATTGGGGTTGTTCACTCATTATCATCATCTACTGCAACGAATTCTTTCGATAATATTGTTGGACAGTCCAATAATACAGTATTTTTCTCAAACATTTCATTAAGTGTTCGTTTCCAAAAGGGAAATCTTTTCAGGTTAACC